TTTTTTTTGAGACAGAGCCTCAAGCTGTCCCCCTGGGTAGAGTGCCGTGGCATCACGACTCACAGCAACCTCCAACTCCTGGGCTCAAGTGAGTCTCCTGACTCAGCTTCCCAAGTAGCTGGGACTACAGGCGCCCACCACAGTGCCCGGCTATTTTTTGGTTGCAGCCATCTTTGTTTGGCGGGCCCGGGCTGGATTCAAACCCACCGCCTTAGGTGTATGTGGCTGGCACCATAGCCACTTGAGCCAGAGGCACTGAGCTAGGGACCCAAATCTTTAAACATTGCACAGTGTCACTCACTAATACACTGTATTGCCTCCTATTGGCTCTTCCCTCCAGATGGCTTCATTCACATCAAAGCCCTTTATTGTCTGGCTCTGGCCCCGCCTAACCTGTACAACTTGGTCAGCCATTCAGCCTTGATGCAAGACCTTGATCTCTGGAGTTCACGTTCTGCCTCTTATGTTTTGCTCAAGCTTATCAAGAATACCCTGTTTTCTCCTACTTAGGACGGTCCAACCATGGATGTCTGAGTTTGGATTTATCTTCTCTGTCAAATGTGAGAGACTAAAGACTACTCAGAGTAATCAGTAATCAGTAATGACAACAGCTACACTGATCTTGTACTTGCTTAGTTATTTCCATACGTAAGGGTTGGTTTCCTGTGTTCTCTCATTTCCCCAGCTGATGTGTGAGTTCATCTGGGGAAGGGTGTCTTCTACTTTTCTCTTGGTCCCCACAGTATAGGACAAACTGGGGCCACAGTGAGTCTTCACAGTACTGATGGTGGGATGACTGACAGTTCTGACTGTCTTCCTGATGACGTTCCTTTCTTGTGCATGACCTCAGAGTGGATGCCCCTCTCTGATGCCCATCATTCTGATCATTTTTACCTTAAGGGACAGCCACATTCACATGCTGGTGGCAGGCCATTCACACAGCCTTTCGTTATCCTCTGCAACCCTATTGCTGGATTATGTCCAGAGAGTAAACGCATCCTGATTTTTGAAAGGAAGAAAATGAACATTGTCTATTTCCTGTGATAATTAGGAAACTACTAAAAAATGTAAAGTAGAAATATAGTTGGTAGCATGGCTTACTGTAGGATGAATTCACAGCCAGTATTTCTGTAATTATGAGAAACTAGAATGAGTATATTGATTTAGAAATTCAGCTTATAAGGGATATATTTATCTTAATATTAAGGATTTTTTCATTGTTCAATTCTGAAAGTTATACATAGTAAGGGTTCCATAAGTTTATTGAATATAATTTATTAATAAAATAAATTCTAGGCTATTGGGGAACTATTTTGAAAATATGTCTCACCAATTCCTAAGCATGTTTTCTTTTTTTTCTTTATACTTTATATGTCATGGTATATATACAGAAACTTACCTTAGTAGTTATAATTTAAGAATGGAAGAATATCAGTTAGTATTAATAATGAAAATACCAATAAAACCAAGATTTAAATATAATTTGACAGTAAGACTGCTTTGAAGTTGTACAATACAAATATTTATGGTTTAAAAATAGTATAAATTGGCTTGGCACCTGTGGCTCAAGTGGCTAAGGTGCCAGCCACGTACACCCAACATGGCGGGTTCGAATCCAGCCCAGGCCTGCCAAACAACAATGACGGCTGCAACCAAAAAAAATAGCCTGGCGTTGTGGTGGGCGCCTGTGGTCCCAGCTACTTGGGAGGTGAAGGCAGGAGACTTGCTTGAGCCCAGGAGTTGGAGGTTGCTGTGAGCTG